CCACCCAACCTTCACCATATTTTATTTATAAAAAAAAGTGGGTAGTGTCACTTGGAATACATGAAGGGACTCACTGAGTCACCCATATTGTTTGGGATTGTCAAATTAAAAATGCTTTGAACATATCCATAAAAGGGATTTCCAACACTTGAAAACTAAGTCACATTGGGGTTATCTTTTTATCCTTTTTGGATCCTTCCAAAGTAATGGTTGCAAAAAGAAACAAAGGTGATTAGAAAGTTAATGGAGTTCTAACATGATTTAGGATCATGTCTCAAATAATCTCTTGTTTAATGAATAAAAAACTCCATGTTGTTTTGTCATTGGTTAAAACTTTCTTTTATAATTAAGCACAACTTGGTGGGCCATGCTCGCGATTTAGGCAATCTTAAAACGATAATATTGGCATCACTTCAATCAACAACAAAGTTAAGAAAAGCATGATTAAGGCCCTAAATGGTGTTTTATATTAGATGGTGGAAACCATTTACAACAACAACAACAAGAAACCCATTGTTAAGTAGACACTTGTTAATTAATCAAACATGACTGGGTGTCTTCTTCTTCTTCTTGTGTGTGTGTGTGTGTGTGAAAGAGAGAGAGAGAGAGTCGATACTTGTAGGTCCAATGTCACAGAAATTGGAAATTGAGGTGGTCCCCATTGTGGAGGGCGGGTCCTACCTAGAGTTTGTTCAAATAGAGAGGAGCCAATTGGACGCGCAGCTTCACATGCCTAACCCTTCATCAGTGGAGAAAACCTTGGCCTATGTCACCCGTACTACAACATTATATGTTAACACACGGCTTCCAAGCCATTGCTTCAGTCCCTGCTCTCCCTCTTACGCAGCATGTTTGATCCATGTTTCAACTTTTTATGTCCAATCGCTTCTGTTTTGAGTTTTATTGGTTACCAATCTTGTTAAATTAATTTAGCAACCAAACCCAAAATGACTTTCTTTTCTCTTTTATTTGGGTTGCATTAGGAGGAAAGGAATCTTGGGGTTTCAATCTTGAGTGCAACTGCCAATCAGGGGGGAAGGGGGAGGGCCACAACCACTGTGGTAACCCCGTTCGACAATGACCTTCTTTTCTTTTGTGAACATAAAAACTCTAACTATTCAAAGAGAACTGCAAAACTTATTTATGGGGATGAATATTCACTGTGGATTCTTCTTTTTTGTACTACATATGGAATAAATAAATAGTAATTAGGAACAAGAAACAGAAAAGTACTTGCAAGGTGAGAAACCAACCAATAATTAGTGCTGAGTTTAATTCAGCGACCACTGTTTCCAACCAACAACACAGTTACACAACACAAGCCTATATATATATATATAACTCTTCAACTTTATGGTACACAACACATGTACATTGAGAGGATCTCAGTTGAGGAGGTACATTTTGCTTTTTGAATGAGAGCAGCTCCCTTCCTTGAGCCCCATACAGCTGTTTGGCCTGGAATTTGCTAACTTCCTCAAGTGTCAAAGAGTCAAGACACAAACTCAAAGTGAGAAAGACCCAAAGGGCAAAATCATTGGATCCAATTAATAAAGCGAAAAGGTTGTTAGGTTTAAGTAGAAACTGATCATTTCAAACTAATTAATGCAGAAGATATTACTAATCCCAAATCCTAAATCTATGTGCATGCATTAGTATAATAATTCATCAGGCCCCCCAATAAACTCTTTTATGTTCCATGTTAGGGACCCACGTAAACTATACATGAATGGGCCATCACAAGTCACAACTATCATCTCCTACCTGCTTGTATACTAATTGACATGCTCCTTCAATGAAGGTATCTCTATTCTTAAGAAAAGAAAAGGATCACTACATGTGGGGCCATATCCCAATGCGATTCAGTGATTCAAATCGTCTACTTTTTATCTCGTTAAACATCATTTTTGTAAAAGAAAAAAAGTAAATTGAAATGCTTTTTACTTAAGTAAGTAATTACAATAGAATGAATAGAAGAACACAATAATTTTCTAAATAAATTCAACAACAAAGAAAACCCCCATATGATAAACCATGATGGACTGATTGACTTTTGCTAACCCTAGCATATCTAGGTCATATTTAAGCTTTGTAATGGCAGTAATCATGATTAATTATCCAGACCACAAAACAAACATGATTAACTATGAAATCTAACGGTCGAAAAAAGAATGCAAGCTTTCACTCGAAAGGTGATCCAGATGATGATGGGGATCGGATCGAGGAGATTTTTCTTGTATGGGAAAATTTGACTAAGGGAATGGAAACGGAGGAGAAAGAGGAGACAAGGTGGGCCAGGTTTGGAGTTGTGATGAAGACTTGGGAGAAGAGAGAGAGAGAGAGAGAGAGGCAAGGCAAGGCAAGAGGCTGCTTTTGAAAACAATAATAATCAATAGATTAATTAACATGGGTATGAGTTTATGCTCCTTGAAGTGGGAGATTACGAAAGCCAACTTCTTGTCTCTATTAATTTTTCTCTCGTAGTTAGTAAGATTCGGAGAGATCTCTCTCCCCCAAATCCCCCAAAGCAAAAGTAAATCATTCATTTCATTTGTTTGATTAATTAATATATGGATTTCAACGTCAATCACGCAAACATCCTAAACAATTATTCATCATCAACACGTAATGGTAGGGCCCAACCCTAGGTTGTAAACACACCTGAACCCAACCCTTCGAGGAGTAGCTCATAGCTTGAGTTAAGAGCTTCCCATGTTGACTTTATTCACAAAACTACCATCATTACTATCACTTTTGGTTGCGAGCACAACTTAGAATGTGAAGCATGCGTATCTAAAGCTAGATATGGAAGATAAGTAGATGGTGACACGTGGGCCATGCAAGATGAGGAGGCACACTGACGGTAAGAGATCTCAGTTGAATCTCCTAAACATAACATGGGGCCCAACCAACCCAAGTGCCAAACCTATGAAAGATTTGCGTTGCCAATGCCATGCATGAAAGTTTTGACTTTAATGAGAAAAATAAATTTTATTGGTGGGTGGTGTCGGCTCCTGAGATTGAGCACTTCGGAGCCATCTTGCAGGACCATGAGATGAGGGTAAAATTGGAAACTCAAGTTGAACACAGAGAGAGAGAGAGATGAATGTTCCAAGTTTTCTAGGCTTCTAGCAGTTGAAGGAGCAGTTGGGTTCAGGGGAAACAGAGAGAGAAATGGGCTTCATGTTGCGCCATTGGGTTTCGTTCCAATGCATCTGAGCCTCAGAGTACGAGATTACAGAACTACCCAAGTTTTCAAATGCGGCTTTGTAGTTTGTACTTAATAAAAAAACAATGTCCTTATATACGAAAATGAAGATCGAACTCGGATGTAAGAAGATGAATATATTATCGTAGTTAATTGACCTAACTCATATATATATAATTAAAAATTAATATTTTAGAAAAAGAGAAATATATATTGGAAAATGATCAGAAATTATGTATGAAAGAGATATATAGGAATAGGACTAGGTAGGAGAATAAGAATATAAGTGTTAGGAGAAAACTGTCACATATAGCGATAGGAGGGTAAGACGTGTCGCCAACTGAGTTTTTGTTAAGAGTAGAGAGGTGTGAGAGATTCTCTTGGCAAAGGTTTCTTAATTTGATCAAACATTGGCTTTAGCTTTGGGATTGGTCATCTTCCCCAAAGTTCCCGTCATCATCACTGACTGAAAGCAATCCAGTGATGGCCCATTAAGTTAACATCCAGACTTTTCTAACCTAATTTTTTTCTCCGTATGGCTGCTAATAATTTATAGTGGATGGACTAACGAGTGATCATCATTCCTCATTGAGTCAGTCCTCCAATTGAACGGCTCAAATGAAATCTGATGCAAAACAGTCACAACAAAATTCATAGAAAATGATAGCCAATTACAAATCTTGTTGGTACAAGTTAAGCTAATTACATAGCTTTGCTTGGCTATAACTTTTAACTTATAAAAGGAACACAGATAGATAACAAAGAAAAATGGAAGTTGAGCTCTCTCTGGTGGAAAACGGTGGACAAGCTAGTTCAATCATGTAGCTTTTATTTATTTAGGGTTTTATATATATATGCATAAGTCCAACAGTGTACCATGCTCGCATCACATGCAACATCACATTCTTTTATCCTCCTTTGAAGACACAAGAGACAAAAACCTATATATATATATATACATATATATGTAGTCCTCTTTTAAGGTATCATACAATTATTTTTCCAATGATCCAAACTATTTATTGTTTAGGTCTTCATTCATAGATCATTCTTACAAAAAATTAGACAAATTATAAACCCGTGTAAACATCTAATTGTGTCCTATAAAATCAATTAACACAGTGCTCTAAGAAAGTACTAAAATGTCAATAATTTAATTGAGTAGTCAAATGATATTGGATTCAAGTGATTTTTTCAGAGATGATCTTCTAATGAATATATACAAAATATACGGTTTGAATTAATGAAATACAATATATGATGGGCTCTACAAGGGTGCCCATCAAATAAGCTTATTTGAAGAATTCCTAAAGCGAAACTCACTCTGTATATATTTGGTGATTGGGTAAACAAACAAACAAATAAACAGTGAATCCATTTTATTCTATTCTTATGGTTTGAAAGTCCCCTCATGTGAAGCAAAGGGCATTCTTGCAATTTGACATGAATATATTGAGAAAAAGAAAAGGGTTTGAAAAAAATGAAAAAGAAGGAGAATTGGCAAGACAACAAGTGCAATCGTTTGGGCCCCCGAGTGTCCTTGGGTCGTGTTCCCATAACTCTCACTTTCTTCCCATCGGGATGTCCGCAACCGCAACCATCTCTCTCTCTTTCTCAAGGTGTCTCTGTAGCTAACACACACACACACAAATATATATATATTTATATATAATGATAAAATACATCATCAGCATCATTAAAGATTAATTCAATTCAAGACCCTTTTTTTTGTTATCCTGTGTATAAATACCCCAACACATGCACAACTCCCCCTACATCCCATTTCATTCTCTCTCTCTCTCTCTCTCTTCAGCTCCCCTCATCACTTCAATTGAATTCCCATCTTTCTTTCTCTGCTTTCTTTCTGTCTCTGTCCCTGTTTCTAAGAAAACAAGCAACATGGCTGAGGCTGCAGAGCTACACTATCAACCCAAACCAACCAACACCACAAACCCAACAAGTTCTAGCAACAACCCAACAACACGCTTAAAGCTTTTTGGCTTCAATGTCCAAGACGACGATTTAGAATCTTCCGTACTCGACTCCACCAAGACTTCCACCCCATCTGGTTCACCGGAATCCGGCGGTTTTTCCACCACCGGCGACCGTAAATACGAGTGCCAGTACTGCTGCCGAGAATTCGCCAACTCCCAAGCCCTCGGAGGCCACCAGAACGCGCACAAGAAAGAGCGCCAGCAGCTCAAGCGAGCTCAGCTCCAAGCCAGCCGAAACGCCGCGGTTTCATACGCCCGAAATCCCATCATCTCCGCCCCCCCCCCCCGCCTCCCCCCCCCCCCCCCCCCCCCGCCGCCGCTGTCTGTACGTGTTCCCTCCCTTTTTTTTTTTTTTTTCAATTTTAAATATATTCGGGTGTATTTTGGTTTCTGTTTATATTTATGTATTGATTTTGTTAAGTGTTGAGAAATTGCTTACTCTGATGCTTGGTTAGGGTTTGTTTTTTTTTTTTTTAAATTAGGGTTTTATTTTGTTTATTTTTTTTCAATTTTGCAAAAGGAGATGGTGGGCCCAGTTTTGATGATGCATTGGGCTTGGACTTGCATCTCAGCCTTTGACTCGGTTAAGCAAGGCTCGGCTTGGCTCGGCTTGAGAAACGACGTGGTGTGTGGTGGCCTTTATAATATGTTGCTCAGATCATGAGGTGGAGGTGGTGGGAAGCTAATGTTTATTTTGGTAGTGGGATCTTTGTACATTTTCAAATTTTATTTAATTTATTTAATTTTTAAGAAAGTAATTTCAAGGGCATATATATACATTGCTCTCATTCTATTTCTGGTTTTTTTGTTTTTAAATCTCAGTCGGTCCATCCAATTATGTATGTATATATGTGTGTGTATATACGAGTAGGTAGAAACTCGGAATCCCACTAACAAGTTAGAATGATGGAAGTGGGACCTTCAAATTTGTTGACTCTTGAGTTGTCGACAAACACACAAGGAGTTTAATGCGTACCTAATTAGCCCGACTTAATTTTTGATAATGCGAGTGGCCGACATGATTGATATGTTCTCATAAATTAGGATATGTTATAATAAATTAGGATATGTTGTGATGTATGTTTTTGACATGAGACGAGAAAAGGAATTAGACGTAAATGGAAGTTCCTTGCGGCAATATGTAGGCTATAATATGAAATGAGGGTCGTTCTCACGTAACAATTATTTACTGGATTTCAGAGCAAGAATTAAAAGATGAGGGAATTTTCTTTCTTGGGCATATGCCATGTACTTTACAATGTGAACAATAAGTAGTTCATATTGATAAAGTGAAAGAGATGAGTATGCATGCCAACCATATGGTGTTGACTACTCGAGTGAGTGATCAACAGATCTTGACACCATAATTAAATTCAGATTTTTACCAATTAAAAAGAATTAATACATCTCACACCAATCTAATTGATAAAGTCTTCTTTATATATACTTTAGTCCTTTCCCTGTATATCCCATCTCATTCTATAGGAGCTAGCTCTTCAAGTTTTGAATGGGTTTTGAAAGAATACCAAAAATCAAGGCTAAATTACTCGCATATTTATATGGAGAAATTTTTGTATATTTCCACATATCTTATGTATATTGGATGGTACTCTAGAACTAGGGGCGGAGCTAGAATTGTAAAGTTGGGAAGGCCGAAGTAAAAAATACAAGTATATAAAACACTTAAGTATTCAATAATTATATGTTTAGAGCTAAATATTTCTAATTGAGTCATCATGTCTAATTTGTTTTAGAGGAAATTTTAACTTAAATTATAAGATGATTATTACAAATTCTATATGTTATATGTAATATAATAGAAGAGAGATAAAAATCTAAGGGGAGCCAGGGCCACTCCAGGCCTATGAGTGGCTCCGCCACTGTCTAGAACATACAAAAATTACTCGCATATATTTATATATATTGGCTTCAGTCATATCTTTCTCCATTAATTATAATATATGTGTATATACAAATATATGCTCCCTTCACTCTTTGTTTTGTCTGAGACAAGAAAGCATGGGCTTAGGAAAAGACAAGTACTGTGAATTGTGTTGTGTGATATGATTCCAAATTAAACGACACCAGTTGCTGAGTTGCAGATAGAAAACCTTATTATTCTATATGTAATTAACAGTTCACTGACAACGTGATCAACTTAGGCAGCAAACTATAAGGTTCGGTTACTAATTAATTAAATTGGGTAATTCTTCCTTTTTCTTAATGACAAATCAATATAATTCAAATTACTGTATGCAGAAATGCTGTTTATTTGTTAAAAAATGGAGGTTATCATTATTTCAGGAGTTTCTAGTCACAAAAAAACTCCAACTAACCCATTGATGGTTTGTTGGTGCCTTCTTTTCATCTTGACTAGGTGGTGACAGAAATGTGGGACCAATCACATGCAGACCAATCTCCCACAACTGATAGAAAAATCAGTGGTTTGATTGGATAAGCACAAGTTAACAAACACTAGCTAGGTTTAAGTCAAACACTACAATCTTTCAATGTTCCCTATAATTATTAAGAGATTAATTTATTAATCAGGCTAGCCGCTGAAGTCTAATGGAGGTTAATTGGTTTTCTGATGTCCAACCAGGAGAGAAGAGCAGCAGCTAGCTAGCATAGATAGTATTGTAGACAAAGTGTTATAATTTAGTAGTTACAATCTCAGCAAGTTGGGAGTCTCTTGTGGGTAAAACAAACCAAGGCTTACGTGTGAGCACGAAAACAAGATAATGCATGCCAAGCAAGCAATATATATATATATATATATATATGCATCATTGGTTCTAGGGTTTCTTCCCACAAAGCTTAAGTTGCTTGGTCAAAAGGTAGGTGGCACTCCCAAAAATGGTGCAAATTGAAGTCTCTAGAAAGTCGTTGCCTTTTGCACCCAATAACATGAACAAAGGGCACCCAACAAATAAGCTAACTTGGCTGTTTAAACTTGCTGGTGGGTGTGCTCAAAATAATAACTTTGGTTCAGGTGAGACTAGCTAGAGAGTTAGATTTCTACAAGATAATTAATGAAGAATGTGTAAAGTATTGGATGCAGATGGACTTAATTGGATTGGATGCTTTTAGGGTTTTCCTTTTATATATATTATATTTGTTTGTTTGTTTGTTGTTGGCATGAATTTTTTGGGGAGAAAATAAAGGAGAAAATTAAGATATATATTCATAGATTTGAAAACTTATAACACACTTGAAAAACAAGGTCATTAATTCTTCCTTAATTTAGAGGAGAGCTTTTTGACAATAACCAAAAGAGTAGTTGGTGAGGCATAATAACATAGAAAATCAAACTCACTCCCGCGACTTTGCCCCAAGCAATATATTTTCTTTCGATTGGGCCCCATTTTTAACTTCATTAATGCCATGAAGCTTGATTTGGACATCCACTTCACCTTACAATACAAAATTACAAATCAAGTCTCTCTCTCTCTCTCTCCCCCCTAATTAATCACTAACTAGCTAGCTAGATAGAGAGAGTCACCCTCCACTTAAGTTTGATCCAAGTATAATTTTAAATCCAAATTAAACCCCAGGTGATTAGAGTTTAATTAAGTATCGTCACAGTTCCTAGTCACCATGATCCAATCAAGTTTTGGCATAGTTAAATAATGCACGCCTTCAAATGTGACAAATCAAGCATGCTAATTAGCCCCTCGAAAGTAAGCCCAGGACCATGGAATATGGTTCTCAAATCAATTAGACACATTTCTAGCTATGTATGATTACTATCTCTGCCTTGGTTACATCTAATTGATTGAGAGAAAAATTGAAGATAAGCAGTCCTTTTCTTGTAGGAGTACAGTCCAACCACAGATCATCAACCTCATCACTGACCTCTAAATGCAGCCATGTTTATATAATGGCTTGTGTTGGAAAATGACTTTCATCAACAACAACCAACCAATCAACTTTCATTTCTGCGTGGCTCTTGCATAATGCCTTGCCACCATTTATTTAACACCATTTACAAATGAAGTGGGGGGTTGATGTTTCAACAAATATCATATACTTTTGGAATTTTACTGGTAAGATTATGTTAATTAGTGCATTAGTTTATGCATGCATGTGGTTGTGCAAACTCCTTTTTCTTTTCTCCTGAACTCGTAACGATATACAGACAACATATAGCAGTGCATTAGTTTGTTAAAGATACTTCAAAAAATAAAAATAAAATCGAAAACCTAATTATAAATTCAATATTACTAGTCCAAGTACAGATATTCCAATAATGAAGGCAACAAATTGAAATTAATTACTCTAAACAATTTAGGGTCACAAACTTTATAATCTTAGAGATGCTGTATACACAGTTTTACTTTAGAAATTCATTCACGTGATGAGAGAGATAGACTATAGAATTGGTAAGTAATGTTGAAGGAGCGGGATACGACTAGAGGGCTATAGTTAAGCTAAGGTAGTGAAGTCCCGTGTTAAAAAAAATTAGCATTGATTTGATATATTCATGCATCTGTGTGAATTGTGTACACATAAGATGTGAAGTATGAATAAGTCCCAGATAGTACATATATATGAGTTTCTTGTGGCTTGTGGTGGGGCGCCATACAGCTGCAATGATCTCCTTGTCGGAGCTGCACAGTATATGTTAATGTAAGGGAGCATATAATATCTATCCACGACCATGATCTAAGCTCTAAGGTACAAAAGAACAAAATTACCAAAGTGTTTTCTCATATCGTATCTTGTTGTAGCGAAGCTAGGCTGGGCTCTTTTCATGCCTTTTTATAGAGGTAAGAGGTTCAATCTGAACCTAAAAAAGGACGCACGGATTTCCAATATAAAAGACTTTAAGTCCCACAAACTTGACACTTGACAGGGCATTCACCCTTTAGCTTTGCTTTTTTGTACAGTACTGCATGTGCTCTCTCTCTCTCTCTCTCTCTCTCTCTCTCTCTCTCTTGTATGGTTCATAAACCAAACCAAACCAAACTTTAACTCAACCATGCTTAAATAAAGTACTTCAAAAATGCCACAGCAATGGATTTTGCATGTTGCATAAGCCTTTTCAAAAGATGTTATTTCTTGAAGATTACTCAGTCCATATCCCAGACTTTTGAGAGGGAATATTTACTTGCTGACTTGACTTCAAAGCAATTGCAATTACATACACAAAGAACATAAGCATACAAAGACCGATTGAAGTCTGGGTGATGATAGTGAATTAAGCCAATTATCTCGATTTAAGTTACTTGTGGACATCGGGGCCACATCACATCAATCAAGATGAATGACCTCTATATATCTATAGTTCAAGCTGTTTCTTATTGACTGGGATTAATGAACTTGAGGGATCCAAAGCTTGAGGTTGTCCCAAGCACATTTATTTAGTTTGTTCAAGACTGAATGGTTCGTGACTAGTTGTCAGAAATTGACCTTATTCACAACCATACTTGTTGATCGCATTATATCTTTTAACATGAATTCTCCTAAATTTTCAAATATTTACATTCCGCACTCGAGCAAAATAATATTGGCCCATTTGGGATTGCTTTTTGCCAAATATAGTTAAAAGCGTTTTTGATTATCAGAAAACGCTTTAACTGCACTATGAGCACTCCCAAACAGGTTAATAGAAAGCTAGATTAAAAAGCTTTCCAAGCACCTTCCTAAAAGCTCTGTATGCTGGAAACAACAATTTGGAAGTACATAATTTGATGCAGATTTACACTCGATGATTTCTCTGAACTCTAAAATAAAACGTGCATGGGACCCGCCATGCAGCGACATATATTATATAGTGTCCTCTTGTGAAAACTGCTTGACATGCATGACAGATTGGTTTGGTAGGACAGTCCGAAAGTAACTCAACCATGAAACACCACCATCGTACCATAGGATACGACACATCAACTTTTTTAATTCTTGCAATGTTATGTTCCCATCGTAGCTAGCCCTCTGTAAATTGTAATGCTAATCCATGAAGCTCTCCAAGGCAAGGCCCCTAATTCTAATTGGTCTTTTAGAAAAGGATGGACAGCCTCTCCACTATGGCTAGCTACTTTTAAACAGATGTCCAATGCAAGTCCCCACAAAGGCATTTTTCTGCGAGGCTCATAGGCATAGACTCACTAGGAACTACTTTAACAATGGAAACCAGACAAACCGAAGTGTTTATTGTTTGCACTAACTAACCCCAATCTGAAACCACTTTGTATGTGGATGTGCATGCATGGGGTCCTTCACTCGTACGATCACAACTCCTTTGCCAAAATCCCATCACAATATAACTTTACTACATAGCTTTCTTTCTTTTTTTCCTTTTTTTTTTTCTTTGGGCCAAAGTTAGAAAGGGGAGGGGAATTTTTTCATACGCACACTACTAAGGTGCTATAAGTGTTCCAACCTAAAACTACTGATCCCTAAGTCAACGCCCTTTTCCACTAGGTCGGTCATAGTTTTCTTTCTAAGTGTAGCATAGTTTTTCAGCATGTTTCTTACAATATTTTTATGGATCTCATCTCACTACTACACATCCCAAAGTTGAGAAAAAATGAAAAACGCTTGAACTCTACCAGTATCAGGCCTGTGTAGGCCTTACCAAGAAAAAGAAAAAACACTATCAGGCCTGTTTCATAGTCCAGTACACAAGTCTAAAATAGTACTGGGCTTATTGATCATAAAGAGGTTGGGTTAAATTTTGACCTTCTGTGCTTATTGACCAGTAGTAGGTTCGGCTAAAGACATTTATGCTGGCCCTGAAGAGTTGACTCTATATCATGAAATCAGAACAGAAGGAGAGTAAAGTACGCGCCTCTCGTTACCAATCGATCGTGCAGACCTGGCACAACTTAATAATCTGGGAAGGCATGCACCAAATACATCTCTGACATGAATTTTTTTTAGAGTATATCAAATCAACCTTGATTTCTTTCAGTATTGTATTAAGAAGAACCTGTAAGATATGGTCCTAATGAAAAAAGTGTGAAGACAGTATTTCATTGGACCAAAAAAATAGTGAAATTTATAAAACAAGGTTACTACCTTCAGGACCCTTTGGGGAACTTGGTCTTAATCCACAAAATATTACAAATTAATCAGTCGGCGGCTGCTTTTGTCATTGCTCATTAGGCAGCGATGGTTGTTCTCCTGCTGGGACACAAGGTCTCCAGATCGTCTCCTTGCCCAAGTCCATGAGTGCAATGCCTTTTGTGGTTAAATACGCTCTGATCTGATCACTCTTTGCAAAGTCTTTGTTTTTCCTTGCTAGTGTTCTCTCTTTAATCTGATCCAGCACATCATCTTCCACCAGCCCTGCTCTCTTCAATGCCTTCACTTTAAACTGCTGCAAAACCTGTCCAATGAAGTACACCTTTGTTGTTGATAACTTCGACCAAAAATAAATTCACCTTAAAAGTTGAAAGAAACAAGCAAGAAGGCATCACCTCAGAGTACGTATCAGAGGACAGCAGACCCAAAATGTTCAGAAGTTCTTGAACTTCTTTCTTTATTTCGACTAGCGACTGAATCATTAATAACTGTTGTTGCCTCTGCTGCTTCTTCTATAAAAAGTAAAAAATAAAAATGTTTTCTGTTACCCCACCAGAGCCATACACACACATAAAGGAGGAGAGAGCACATCAAAATAAAAATATGAGTGCAGCACGCTCGAACAGGATCCGATTCCAAATGTTTACCTTGAGTATGTTCAAAGAACTGTTTATTAACTTTAAGGCGTCTTGGAAAGCACCAGTCAATATGTGTGCAGTGTTCAAGTCATCGCACATTTTAGTCTCAAACTCATTATGTAGCTTACTGATGCATTCTTGGGCAGCTGGAGTAATTTTAACTGTTCTACCATTTTTTTCTGTGCCTTCCTTCAGGCTCCCTTCTTGAAATGGAGATAAAGCATCCTCAGAGTCTTGCAAGGTCTAACAATCACAAAACAGCAAACTATAAGACACTAGATACTGATAAATAAAATCCATTTTTCTGCATGTTAGCCCAAACGCCTGTTTGAGGTTGACTTAGCTTCTGTTTCAGTAAATTGAGGCACCATTAAGTACCTCTAAAGAGTTATCTATGCAGTTTAACTCCGGAAAACAAAGCATACACAAAAAGGGAAACCCCATTGCAACCTAAAAGTAATACAATTCTGTTCCATCTAGATCAGTATTTTACATATATTTCTCTTGATTAACAAAGAGCCCAAAAATTAAACTTCTAGAACCCAACATCAAAAAGTTTAATGTCTAATTCCCACAGCCATCATTCCAGAACATATTGACCAAATAGAAAATTTTCAGAAATAACCCAACAAGACAATAATAACAATTTAAAGGTGAAATGGCCAAATAGACAGTTCGGCGCAAATATAATTTTCATCAATGCAAGACACTTGCTGGAAAAGAACTGAGAGACTTCCAAATGAGCATGATTCAGATCCAGATAAGCCACATACCTGATATATGTAATAAACAGCATCTGAAGAACCTTCCAGCTGGGAGACTGTGTAGTTGAGCGGAGACCGATAGTGAGCACTGATCAAGAAGTGTCTCAAAGCCAATGGATGGTACCTCTCAGTAATCTACAAGAGAATGGAATTGTAAATTAAATTGTAATATAAGATGGAATATATAGAAGCTCTAAGAAGCATTAAATAAATAAATAAAAGTTAGCCCAACTTACCTCACTAATAGTGAAAAAGTTACCCAAGGATTTTGACATTTTCTCATTGTTATTAGTAACATGTCCATTATGCATCCAGTAACTCACACTGCTCCCTTGGCACGCAGCACAGCTCTGGGCAATCTCATTCTCATGGTGTGGAAAAATCAAGTCAATACCACCACCATGAATATCAAAGTTGAATGTCAGATAATGTGCACTCATCGCACTGCATTCAATGTGCCATCCAGGTCTTCCAGGTCCCCAAGGGCTGTCCCAACTTGGCTCACCAGGCTTTGCAGACTGGAAATACATTGAAATATAATAAATAGGAAAACACTATCAAAAACAGCAAGAACGTGGTAACTGGTTTGGGTTTCCAGACCTTCCACAATGCAAAGTCTGCTGGATTACGTTTTCTAGAATCAACAGCAACTCGTTCACCAGCCCTATTATGTTCCAACCTTTGTCCAGATAACTGGCCATAATTTGGAAATTTTTCAACAGCAAAGAATACATCTCCATCAACTGAATACGCGTAATCTTTGTTGATGATCTGCAGGATATAACAATCATTTAGAACGAAATTTCAGGCCCAGAAAAAAAAAAAAAAAAAAAACCCATCACAAAAGACAAACGTCAATAGGTTTATCAGTGTCAAACTTGATTCAGAAGGACTTTATTATTGGTGACAGAGATAAATTGACTCGAACCTCCAAAGGTTTATCAGTTTCAGGAAACATAAACATCTATGAAACAAAAAATGACTCGAAAAGGACAAGCATGAAATTCTAAAATTTAAAAAAGAAATGACGCGCACACATTATGTTTACATATTTGAAGCACTTACTACTTAGAAATTTAGCATTAGATTAGGCATTCAATAGAAATGTCCCAATAACTTTCCAAACATCAGAAAGTATCTCCCCCATTGTATGCTATATGATTGCCTATAAATATATCAACAACGTTCCTGCACTAATATGCTAACTATATGCAAGTATGGATATATAAAGAGAGACGACAGAGAGAGAGAGGGTAGTTCATATCATATCTCATAATACATAAGCAGAGCAAGCACAAAACCTGTGTTATCAAATCCTTGATATGTTCCATGTGATCAGAAACACGTGGCTGATGGGTGGGGAGAAGGCACTGGAGATCGCCCATGTCCTTGAGATATTCTTGGCAAAAACGATTGCTTAAACTTAGCGGGTCTTCCCCAACCTCATTTGCTCGATTAATTATCTGAAATGTCCAAATATTAGCAAGCAACATGAGCGTTTAAGTACTCAATGAAAATGAAAAAGAACAAGAACAGTCAGGCAATAAATCATCAGTGTTTATTAAAAGAAGATTCAAAAGATAAATTTGTATGGATTACTTGTGTAATAGAGTTTCAACCTTAATATCAGGAAAATTTAGTTTTAAAAAAAGGTAAGCAGATTTGTGGTGTACTTCAGTCCAGCCAAAAGGAAATATTTTAACTAAAATGAGATAGCAAATAGAATTATGACGACGACTGAAACACTAAACACTGCAGTTTACTCCTATAAAGCAAGAATGTAGAAGAGTATTGTTAATGTTTTAAATGAACGAAAACGAGAGTCCACACTAATCAAAGAAAAGAAAGGAAGGAATGCAATCAAAATTAGCTCATTATACGATTCAAAACTCTCACCTTGTCATCAACATCGGTGAAATTCCGAACGTATGTAACCTCATAACCCAAATGCTGTAAGTATCTGCAGTAGTTTCAACTTAATGTTATCCATGCCAGAAACTAGTCTTCGATTCTATATATAAGATCAAAGTAAAGACGACAACTTAAATGCTCCAGGCAATAATATTATTATGTCAAACAGATCTTGCTGCGTTTGACAGTGGTCAACCAAATAGCTTTATTAATCAATAAAAAGAAAGCCTACGAATTAAAACAGAAAATCCCCAACAACCAAAAAAACATGCACATCCTAAATGCAAACCTATCAAATTCTACACTAATCAAAAGCACAATAAATAATAAGATCGAATGTGTGAACCTGTAGAGAACGTCGAAATTGACAGCGGCGCGAGCGTGGCCGAGATGGCTGAGGGCATAGGCGGTGACACCACAGACGTACATGCCGACCTTGCCAGGTACTTTTGGGTTGAAGATCTCCTTCTGGCGAGTCATCGAGTTATAAACCATAAACTCCTCTTTGCTGCCGGCCATTCTCAGACTACCCACACTCTTGCCGCTCAATCCTCTGTGTAAATTTCTGAAATTGATTTCAGAAAAACCCTTACCTCTATTTTGTGGAGAAGAAAACCCTAGAGCTAGAAGGATTGTAAGTCCCCCTTTTTGTTCCCAAATAGATTCGCCTCGAAGGTACGCATTTTCAATTTGTTGTTCTTTTTATTTTTAGGTCAGTAAGTAAACTCTGACTCTCGGAGTCGGACACACGCAGGCCAAAATTTAAGGAGTTATTTACTTTAACACCCCTAAGGTTTTTGACCTTTTCACAAATTTTTTTGAAGTTTTAGAAATTACAAAATACCTTCTGAAGTTTTAAATTATTTTCACAAAACTCTCTTTTTATTTATTTTTAATCCAAACATTGATTATTTTATAAAAAAAATTCTCCAAATGACAAACTTGGTCTTTAAAATTAGATTGCATATATTTTATTTAGGTTAATTTTGTCATTTGTATATTTTTTTTAATGAAATCATCAATTTTTAAACAAATAATTATCGAAAAGTGATTTTGTAAAAGTAAACTAAAATCTCAATGAGTGTTCATATAATGTTTAAATTTTGAAGTGATTTTATAAAAACACAAGAAATCTCAGGAATATTAATGTAAATAACTCCAATTTAAATAAATAGAAGAAAAACGGCGTGATTACAGGCAGGTCAAATTGTCTGCTCGCCGGTTTTTTTTTTAACTTTTCTGTTCTTTGAACAGTCAACGCCAGAACCCAGCGACGGAGCCTGCTGGACCCGATTCCCTTCCAAAGTGGGCTTTTCTCCTATTGGACTGCCATTCATGGGGGGGTTTTATGGAGTAAGTACGATTTACATTTTCTATAGAAAGAAATAATATATACATTATTTTATTTATTTATTTATTTTTAAAAGTATATTTTTATTAATATTTTAATTTTATATTTATTATTATTATTTTAAATGGTTTAATTTTGATTCTATTGGACATAAATCTATTCTTATGACTATGACTTATGGCCCATAAGAAATGATTTAACACCTATTAATATGATCAAGGCCCAGATGACGTACTTGGCTTCCCTACATTTCGGGCTCCTTTGTATTTTTATGGCCCAATAGGACTCAAGGCTCGGCCCATAACATTTCGTCGAAACATGTATCAAACCCAAAAATAAAAATAATAGAGACCCATTTGACTAAAAACTTGCAAAAAAAGTTGTAACTCACGATTTTTCTTCCCCTCCCTTCTTATCCTTTCTTTTTTTTTTTTTGGTCTGAACCACGAGGTGGTCCTGGATGGGCTCCAACTATGGATGGCACCTTTAAGCCTTAACCACAACCCAGACTAATCCCCGTTCACACCGGGTCGGCCCGTAAGGAGTAAAGTGCTGGCCAAAGTGGTGACTCCATACGAGAGAAGGGATCGAACCCCTGACCTCTCTTAAGGAATGAGAGTGCCGAACCACTCACACCAACCACCTTGGTTTCTTATCCTTTCTTTTTGGTCTCTCTTCTCTACAACCTCTTTGTTACAGAGATTTTTCACTGGAATTAACCCCTTCGGCTAATAAATCAGGCGACTCTCTCTCCCGTCATGTTGTAGAGAGATTTTCCTTCCAAACTTTATGCTGGGTTTTGCTTCTCCCCAATTTTGTCATGTATTTTGTTTATCCCCAGCCCTTTTGGACTGACTTTTAAAATCCTTTATGTTCAGGAGGTAGAGTTACTAGATCTAAATGAATCTTTCATACTGGGTACTGTGAGATCATGTGGAATACTGGAGGTGTTGTGGCCTTCTTTGGCCAAGTGGATGTTAATGCCCTTTCACTTCTAGTGCTTATGGTTCTATGGTCGTGCAAAATCAATTGTTCTCATGCTCTCTTTGGCACCATTCATTTGTATTGTATGAAACTTTGGGACATCCATACAAGGTCCCCTGTAAAATAAAAATATAAATGTAAACCCAACCCAGCTAAGGTACATTTTGGGATTTGAAACCTCGACTTAAGAAAATTGGAATACTGTGTTATTGATCATCCAAATATTAATGCTTCTGTTAAACAGACAGATAATAGACACTAACTACTGTGTTTAGGGATTGGTCAAGAATCAACCTTTTGTTTATAGATAGATTAAATATATAAGCTGCATATTTAAGCTGATCCTAGCTCTGATATTGAGGGAAGTTTTGCTTTTCTTGCCTGCTGCAGACAAAGGCACGCTCCTGTGTGGTACATTTACTCAACTTCCAACCAGTTTAAGTATATACTTCTGGTATGGACCAGCATTCTAATAAGTATCACCTGGGAGAATGCAAAATAATTTGATTTTATATATTGATAGGTTTTTTTTTTCTCAAACAAAACTTCTTTGCTCCAAAAATACAAATTTGCAAATCTTCACACAATCACACATTTCATAGCAAATGGAAAATTTTCAAACCTAACTGTCTCTCCACAATGTCAAAAAAAAAAAAACTGTGGAGAACCCAACAAATTGAATCGAAAATAAAACAATGGAAGTCAATAAATTTGCAACAAGATTAATTTAGAATGATTCCTGCCTCTGCATTCTCATTTCTTCATAAAACCTGTCAATGAACATCTGAGCCCGCAGGTCAATTGAAGCTTCTTCATCTCCCCAATCCAACGGCTCCAATAAAGCCACTGCATTGTCATCTTCTCCAGTGGCAGGAGGAAGAGCCTCCATAGTGAAATCTCCACATATATCTTCTCCTTCAACTCTCAAGCTAGAACCCCAACATTTGCAAAGAAAGAGGACAGAGAGTATATGTCTTGAGGGCTTCTGCTCTTCATGAGCTGCCTTCTGTGGTAATGAATGAGGGGAGTGTTAGAAGGAGAAAACTGGTATTCTCCACGGAACCCATTGTTGTAATGCTTCAGAAGCTTCAGCTTCTTTGAGGTTTGTAATTTCCTCCTGAGAAATGAGTTTTCAAATGACAGTTTTCTCACTTTGGCAATGAAGATGAAGATCCTAAGGAGCTTTGAGACCTTTTGGAAAATGGGCAGTCGTTTTTTGGACATTTTGGTGGAAAACTATGGAAGTAAAAGAGGTGAGAAATCAGATCACTCTCTTTTAGTTTTAGAAAGTTTGGCTTGGGTTTGCGAAGGCATAGGCTTGTAGGCTTTGAGTCATGGAGTGTTTGGATTCGTGAGAGCATTTAAGGATACAAAAAGTTGAATGGAGTGAAAAGAATCTAACCGGTGGTAGGGAGCCAAGCTGTAAAAAGAGGGTATATTGGTCGGTTGCTTCTTGTTTTTTTAAGGCTTGATATACAGCAATAAGCAAACTAGCCGTTGGACTTGAACCCCGAGTGGGTTTCCTTCCCTCTATAATTCTAATTTTGATAGCACTTCTTTTTAATTTATAGTTACGTGTTTGGAATAAAAGTGATAGTTTAAATTATAAGAGAGAGAGAGAGAGAGAGAATGGGGTTTTTCACACACTACAAAGACGTTATAGGGTTCCAACCTGCAAATCACAACTTTTATATTAAAAATATGAGATTCGAATACATGACCTCGAATATAGGTATAACATCTTTTAACCATTTGTTGAGCTACAAGTACTTTGCGACAAATTTCTTGCGCAAATTTCTTATTAATTATCACAGTTTGCGATTTGAATTTTAGGATCGATTATTTGGAGCCAATTTCCAAGCAGGTTGTATATAATAATACAAAGTTAGTTACTTGTTTGGTATTAAAGCATACAAATATACATACCGTATGGAGTTGGGCATGCAGATCTGGATCAAGGTTTCCTTTCTCCTTACACATTCCTTAATTTTATGTCACTCTCAATTTATTTGCAGTCTGAAGATGCCCTAACGGGTTTGGGTGGGTTGCATTGGTCCGACCGACTTGAATTAGGAGATGATGGGTAGAGGTTTAAATAATGGGTCTCAAAAATTACAAAACCCCCTTTCACTTGCAACACAATAAAAGATAAAACTTTCCATTATTGTTTCAAAAAAAATTAAAGTCGAGAAAGAAAAAAAATAAATAAAGCATATTTCTTCCCAATGTCTCAAACCAAATATGCGTTTGACTTATAAATATTTGATCACTTGGAGAATAAAAGTAATAAAAAATTATTTCATTTGACTATTTCAAACTATTGGACTTGACCTTTTACTGAACAAACATAATACAGTGCAACTGGGTTGTATCTTGATAGCCGTTAGCCAATGTACATCTATCATCCTTGTTGTACATGGATGTCTGTTTTTTTATTTTTTTTATTCCTCTGTATTTATTAAATTTATACAACTTCCTCTAGGTTTTCATCAAGATTTCCATTTGTTTGGGTTCAAAGGTTTTATTTACATTTCAAATTTAGATGCCTCTAAAATTAGTAATTCATATGAAATAAGAATTTTGTTCAAAATAATTAAAACAACAGAAACAAATTTGACTGGCTCGCTACAAACATATCGAAAAAAGTATAGTAATAAAATAAATAATTCGCTATAACAAGATTGTGTTATTTCCACACCCGGTTAAAGCTTCTTTCACTCCTTGTGAGTGCTCTGAAAAATATGAAATATTGATTTTTGAGTTTAAAATAACAAAATGTAAGAGGGAAAAATAATTCTACATAAAATACGATAATTAGGTTATTATGGTTAATATTTGACATAACTACACAATTTCATTTACACATGTTGGGGTTTAAAATTTTGGTGGTAGCTACAATCACAATGTTGGCATTTTTTAAAGTAAAATAAAATAAAAATAGAAGCATATTGCCACCAAAAAGAAAATTCTTAAATGAAAATAGTTTTATATCAACGGCTAGAGAAAGAGATCAAGGAAGGCAGCCCAAATCAGAGGGCTGTGGCGGCCATCCTCACTCAAAAACGACGCATCACCCGGGAAACCCCAGCGGTGCGCAAAAGACACTGAAGGCGCACATTAGCATTTTCAATAAACAAAAATTAAATTGAGAGAAAATAAAATCAGAAAGGCCATGATATAAAAACCCGAACGTTAAAACGCCCTCTCGGAGTCTCACGCTCGCACTCGTATATAAACTTGCGTTTCCCGGCGATTTGTGAGAGACACAAAACAATAACAACAACAATCCCAATAGCGTTCTCTAGGAAAATTTTCCCTTTCCCATAAAATCCCCGAGATTTTCCGAGAAAATAAGAGAAAGAAGGACGAAGAGAGAGCTGTGATCTAAGAGTGGCTCTCTTGGTCTGAGTTTCCGATAAATGGTGTATATAGGTGTGTCGGAGGAGAGAGAGAGAGTGGCTGCTAAGTCCATGGCGATGGGTTCTGAGAGAACAAAGCCTCTGCACAATTTCAACTTGCCGTGGGATTTGAAGTGGGGGAACCAGAAGCACCTAAGGTGCATGAAGGTGAGCTCCGACGCCGGCGGTAGTACCGGAGAAGCCTCGGCCGTTGATCGGCGATCTTCGGCTCAGAGATTGGAGAGTTCGGTGATGATGACTCGGCGGAGGGAATCGGAGTTTGAGAAGCGGAGGTTTCGGGCTCCTCGGCCGAGGATCGAAAACGACAACGCAGAGGAAGGGATCGAGGCGGTTAGGGAGAAGCTCATGTTTGATCTCAAAACGGCGGCGGATAAGATGAAGGACGCGATTTTGAGGGAGGAGGAGGTGGCGGTGGCGGCTGCGGATACTGACATGGCGGCGGATGGGGAGGATGTTGAGATGGCGGAGGAGGGGGAATCATCGCCTGCGGCGGCGGCAGAGGTCAGGCCGTGGAATCTGAGGACGAGGAGGGCCGCGTGTAAGGCTCCTCTTGGTGGTGGTGGTGTGAAGGGGTTGAGAATCGAGGAGAAGAAGGCGAATTACTCGCCGTTGAGGAGTGAGGGTAACAATGGCGTGAAGTCGCCGAGGCCGGTCAGAGGGGCTTCAGGTTCGGGTTCGGGTTCGGGTCCGGAGAAGAAAGAGAAGGAGAAGGAGAGGGTCAAGTTCGCAGTGTCGCTTACCAAGAAGGAGATCGAGGAGGATTTCATGGTGATGCTCGGCCACAGGCCTCCCCGCCGGCCAAAGAAGCGCCCAAGAAATGTTCAGAAGCAATTGGATGTAAGTCAATTTCAAATTCTTACTCTTTCTTCATGACCCTTTTAGTTTTTTTTCTTTCTTGTGTTTAAATATACATTAACTGTCTGACCAATAGTAATTAATGTTCATGGTGATTGTTGTTGTTGCAGACGTTGTTTCCGGGGATGTGGTTGACGGAGGTCTCAGCTGAGACGTACAAGGTTCCTGAGTTCCCTGAAACTGCCAAGGTGATTGCTTTGTTCTGACTTCTCTCTGAAAACTTCAAAAGTCGTTGCTTTCATTGATGATAACATTTGAGGGACACTGAAAGAGAATAATGAGAATTTGGGGTCTTATAGTTTTGTGTCCCTCAGCCTTCAAATTATGGAATTGGGCTCAGCGTGCTTGTTCTGGGGTTTCATGAGTTATGAACAATAATGAATTCAAAGTTCCCGCTTTTCTTCTCTTTCCCACATTTTCAAATCACGTATCAATCAACAAAATTCGTGTTCATCTGCTTCTGGGTTGTAATTACTGGATCTTGTTTTCTCTGTCTTTCACAAGTTTGTTTAATTTTGAACTGTTGGTCATTCTTTTTTGCAGAGGTAGCAGTGGGAGTGAATGATGGCTTCTGTGGAATGTTTCAAGGCTCTGTTTTTCTGACTGCTGCTGCTTGCAACGCTAATTAGTGGGTATACCACACACATGGGAGTTTGATGAAAATTGAAATCATCAAATCCCCCTACTGGTGAATGTTCAGTTGCTTTGGAACGCTAATTTTGTTTGTTAATTATAATTCATCTTTCTTCTTTTTCTGAATAAATGTAAATAAAGGAAATCTGGGCGGATGCTGTTATATGGAAAACAACTTTTGTGCTATGAGTTTGATTTTGTGACTATTAAATATATCAGTTCCGTTTGGTATCAGTGTACCAGTGTTCTTCTTTATTTTGGGTTCTATAGCAGAGCATCAAAGTGCATGATTGCCTACATACTACTTGACATTTTTTAAACTTTTAGCAGTTCTCTTCATTTACATCATGAGAAGACTAGCTAGGGAAATAATTATTTCTGTGTAATTGGTTTCTGAAGCCTTTATCATGCTGTACTATATTTCCTTCTCTTCTGCACATTGTAAATATTTAATTAATAAGCCATGCTTTTCGGAATGTAAGTGAACTTCTCATGTAAATTGCAAGTTTAGTGACTAATCATGGCTCTTAGGTTCATGGAACTAGTGTAGCTTTAAGGTGGTAGATCAAATACTTGGTTGCTTTAATTTATTGATTGGGCTTCCTTTTTGTTCTAAATTTCTTGCCTGGCCTTGCCTAAAAGATATAGTAATAAAAAATAACTGTTGACAACTAGTCACAAGTCACAAATTGCCTGCCCTGCTCAGTTATCTGTATTTTACTACCTTAACATCTTTGCTTATTGATCTTCATAGCTGTGATATCATTTTCCTTCTTTTTTCCTTTTTGGCAAACACAATCTTGTTATAATTTTCCTTCCCTGCTAACTGGCATTTCATTATAATTTTCTTCAACAATGAGTTCTATTCTACTACTTTTTTGTTCATTGTTTATTGGTAGTCAATTTATCTGGTGAATGTAGAGTTGATCTGTTACATAGTAGTTTATGGGTTCTTTAACAATATATTGTTTGTCTTTTGCATCTGTCCTCCTGGTATGAGATGGATAATGTTTTCTTGTTTAGTTTATTCCTATTAGAAGGCATGCTATAGTTTATGGTCAAACCTTTCACACAATTAATTGGCTTGTTGAAAATTGAAAATTAATACTCGATACTTCAATCACTTTCCAAGGTGGTAAATTGTTATTTTTCTGGCTTTATATTCTTATGCTGAACGATCAAACTAGATAGAAATTCTGATTGTGTTAGTTCTGCATGTTTAACTTTTTTTTTTCTTTTCTGAAATTTATCATGAAATTTTGAGATGCACATGAAATTCAAAATTGTCTGGAACTCCTCAGGGCAAGTCTCCTCTGTTAAAGCAATGGCTAATGAGGAGTTTTTTTGTAGGTTGATAATCAGTAACCAACCTCTCATGATCTTACCATTCATAATTGGCTTGCTTCTGGTGTGCCTGCTAATCTGGTCTCTGCTGGACTTTTTCTATGCCAGAAATTGGATAGCTTGACTCGTTATTTGACTTGTATTTTGACTCGTGAGTTTTGTGCCTGGGACTGGATGACCTGTTATTCTTGTGGCACTTGCATTTCAATATCGGCAAAAACCAAGGTCCAATCCAAAGTAGTTGTTTTGACTCGGCAACTTGTCCTTGACTACGCGTTTGTCTTTCGGTTCTCTCTCCTCTGTTCCAAGTTCCAACTTTCATTTCAAGTTTTGAAGCCCAACCCATTTGTTGCTCCAGTCCAGTAAGTCTTGTTGCAAGCTTTAGGACACTAAAGTTGAAACTGGAACTGCTGAAGAAGTTATGGCTATTTTGAGGAATCTTTTGCAGCCGATGATATCATAACCCTACGAAACCAGCCAAATTGTGTTTGCATGCTACTTTCCAATCTGTCATGAACTGACATTCTTTGGGTCTATTTGGTAACCAAACCAACCCTCCTCTATATCCATTTTCCAGCCGTGCTTCGCATCCACATCAAGTTTTTCGACTCAATAATTTAGGTAAACTCTGTTTCCCTTGTTTGTTGTTGTTTGAGCTTCAACCTCCTCCTTGTTCTTGCCGATGTTTCTTTTGCTTGCGGAAAAACCAACAATGCCCCCAAATAATCACGGATTAAAGAGATAATTTTGATCTAGCTTCATGGAACAGGGTTTTTTAGCACTTTTGTTTGATCAACTTAGAGAAAATGATGGTGGAAGGAAACAGAGACAGCGGACTCAAGGATGGACCATGTTATGGTGGTTATGAAAGGCTAAGCTAAAGTATATTGATGCTTAGATTATCAGAGTAAAAGTTTAGGGACCCCTTGGGGCTTGGTCATTGATTCTTTTTTGTTCAAACAATTCCTTGAAGCACAGTGTTTTTGTCCTAATACTACACAGAATAAAACAAAAACGGAAGCATCTTATGCAGATCAAGTATTTTTTTAATGTTCAAAAGAAGAAAAGAGAGTCATATTTACTTATTTTGAACTACGAAAAGATATCAAAAGCATAAAAAGAAAGAAAGGGATGGGAGAGCCGTGAAAGAAAGATACCTTGTTGATCTGTCTCCTAATCCAGTAACATGTTGATATGCATGCACAATTACTGTCCCACCAGCTTCCCTTCCCCCCACTGTAGTTTTCACCCTTCTAATGACCAAAATATCCCATGAATTATTCTTTTTTGTAATTTTTGTTTTTTCGAACATAATAATAAGATTCTTGACATTTCTTATCACTAAAATTTTCTTCATTTTACAGAGTATGATCACATGCTAGTTAATAATACAAGATGGCAGACAGCTAAATTCATCTGTACTTGGAAGATTCATCCACTCACTCATGAAGGAAACTGATCTGAACCCATCATTTCTTCTTCTTTTTTAACTTACCATTACAGAAGAGAGAACCAAACCCAAAAAAACTTACTGTCACTTTGGAAATGTATGGTGGTGGGAGATTCAGAACAGGACTAATTCTAACCCCATTGCCATAAGATCCACTCTTCCTTAACGAAGGCTTTTGCGGGCATGAATTATTATAAGCATAATATGTACTTGAATATGATGATGCAGATGATCTTCTGCTTGAAATAGATGGTTGTTTCTGCAAATGCTGCTTCTGATGAGTTTCCTTTGGAGCCACTGTCTGCTTTGCATTTGGAGCCGACCCGGTTGAATTGCTTCTTGAAAGAAATTGTAATGACCGAATTAAGCTCTTGCCGCGAGCAGTGTCACAATTGAGGCTGCTACTTCGCCTGAACTGCCAGAAAGGCTTTGTTGGAGGCTTCTCATCTTCATCTTCATCTGCATCAACGTTGGTGTCTAAGAATTCTTTCAACCTCTTCTTCTCTGTTGTGTTCCTAGTTGTTGAACGATGATGAGCAGGTGGAGGATTAACAACCTCATCAGGCTGATGGGCTTCTTTGGTGGCAATGGCATTGGGATTTCTCTTGATTTGGACAGGAAGAATCTTCCCATTGGAGAAAAGCTCATCTGCAGAAGACAACTCTAGTTTAAGGTTATTGACAATGCAGAAGTCGAAATCAGAGCTTGAATCCAAGAGAGAAGAGTCTAATCGTTGCCCTTCTTTTGCAACAGGACATGTCTTGTCTAGATCATGAGAAAATGAAATTCTTGGACTAAATCCAGGGCTAGAAATCTCCGAGTACACCTCGATGGCCATAGTTGCTGCTAGCAGTGCTTTTTCATAAAGACTAGTATATTTCTGAAAGAAATTGCTCCAACCAAGTTACCGACCACTGTTTGAAACTCAAGATGAACCTGAAGAAGGCTTTAAAATCCACCAGACAACCAAGAATGGCATTGACTGTCAGCAGATTTGGAGTCAAATGAAAGGAAAAGTGGGAAGGAATTTGAATTGTGGGAATAAGAAGTCAGAAAAAGCAGCTTTAGCCTTTTCATTTTGTCTGAGCTTTGAGCATATCTGAGAGATTCCAGCATTGGAGGATCAGATGAATTAATGCAGACTGAAGCAGAGGGACAACTGAACTGGGTTATATTGCGCCAAGTTATCAGAAAAAGAAGAGAGAAAGATAAAGAGAAGGAAAGTGGTTGAATTTAAGCACCGAAAGGCTACAAAAGAACCCTCCTCTATGGGGTTTCCAATGAAACTTTTACTTTTGGGGATGAGAAAACAGAGTGAAAGTGAAGTGAGTGAGAACTGAGAGGAGGAGGAGGCAATGGCCTCACTGTTTTTATGGGATTTAAAGTCCAAAAGAGAAGCTATATAATATATGACAGATTAAAAAAATAAATACAGAAAACAAATTAAATTACATAACTGTAACTATAGTTTTCCATTAGGAACTTTCTATTGGGGTTCATTGCTGAAATCAATCATCTGAAATCCCATGTGAATATTTATCTAGCATATGTATGCTACTGCTACATGTTGCAGAACAAGTGAATTAATATCGAACACCCTGCAGATTATTAAAACCCAAATCCTGATATCTCTGCATGAAAAGGAACAAACATTGCATGGGGAACAACTGGTTGTGCGGGGGATCTAGTTGATAATAAATAAACTTAAAATCTGGTATTAGACACAAGGTACGGTTAGATCTAAAGGGTCGCAATTTGGATTTATAATTAATAGAGTTTCATTTCAACAAGTTCCAACCCAAAACTATTGAAATTATTTAGAAGCAAAATGCGTGGTGGTGTTGCCTGACTGGTTGACAGAAGATTGATAATTGATCAGGCAACAATAATGTGGCACGCGAGGTAGGGTCCCATTTTGGACTCGGCCCATAATGTTGTTTTGTGTAGGCTATTATTGTTATGTTTCAAAGGGCTCAAAGCATTGGTTGCCTAATTCAGCGGAAAAACTTTCTTGAAATGGGAATAATACTGTTTTGCTATTTTCGATCAATAATACAATGATGCATAAAAAATTTATCCACATAATTAATCATTTACAGATATCCCTATTGTGTGAAACTATTTCTCAAAAAGCCAAGGCGCAAAAAAGTAGTACTTAATATAACGCTCATGAATCTACATCTGCAACCAAACCCTTAAGCAAAATTCTTTGTTTGAACTCCATCAACATTTCTGAAGCAAAATCATGTGTACTTTTATTTCATGACCTCCAATTTACATGTGTTTTTGGTTAGATTAATTGGTATTTACTTTTGTTAGATTAATTATGTAATTGACATGGATTTTGTTCATATTTGATATGAATTTTGGTAAACAAATTGTGTCAATG